GAGGCGGCGTCAACGAGAGACTAGAGATTTGGAGACATGCTCTTGAGTCTAAAGGTTTCAAGTTGAGCAGGACGATGACGGAATACCTCGAGTGCAAATTTGGAGTTGAGCCGACGGAAGCGGGAGTTGAAGTGAGGCATGACTCTCAAGTCATTCCCAAGAGGGGTAGTTTCAAGTACCTTGGATCGATTATTCAGGGAATCGGGGAGATTGACGAGGATGTCACACACCGTATAGGGGTGGGGTGGATGAAGTGGAGGTTAGCGTCGGGAGTCTTGTGTGACAAGAAAGTGCCACCGTTACTAAAAGGTAAGTTTTATAGAGCAGTGGTTAGGCCTGCCATGTTGTATGGAACTGAATGTTGGCCGGTAAAGAACTCACACATCCAGAAGATGAAAGTAGCAGAGATGAGGATGTTGAGGTGGATGTGCAGGCATACAAGGATGGATAAGATTAGGAATGAAGATATTCGAGAGAAGGTGGGTGTGGCCCCCATGGAGGACAAGATGCGGGAAGTAAGACTCAGATAGTTCGGGCACATTCAGAGGAGGAGCACTGATGCACCGGTGAGGAGGTGTGAGCGACTGGCTGTAGTGGGCACGCGGAGAGGTAGAGGGCGACCTAAGAAGTATTGGGGAGAGGTGATCAGACAGGACATGGCGCGACTTAGGATTACTGAGGACATGGCCCTTGACAGGGAATTATGGAGGTCGGGCATTAAGGTTGTAAGTTAAGGGGAAAGTTGTGAATATTTCTACAGCACAATAGAGTGAGACTAGCTAGTTAGGAGTTAGACGAAGAATGTCATTGGTCGTCTATTGATGCAGGGCTTTACCTGCTAGTTTTACTATACCAGCCATCTATTTCGTATTTCGTATTTCGTATTCTGTATTTCATATCTCTTATATTGTTGTTATTTATTATGCATTTTTATGGTATTAATATATCTGCTCCTTTTTTTTTGAGTCGAGGGTCTCCTGGAAATAGCCTCTCTATCCTTCGGGGTAGGGGTAAGGTCTGCGTACATATTATCCTCCCCAGACCCCACTTGTAGGACTATACTGGGTTGTTATTGTTGTTGTTGTTGTTGTTGTTGTTGTTGTTGAGAATTGAGAAAATCCTTGACAATGAGATTTCTTATTTGGCAGATCTTGTGTGGTATGAATTTGAATCAACCTTTAACTAATAATTAGTAAGCTCAGATTCAAGTTTTGAGAATTGAGAAATTTTTGTTAGAATTTTTTTTCCTCTTTATCGAGCCATATGCAGTCAATAAATGGTAAATATAGCAGTTTTCATCAAAGTATATATTTTTGGCAAATGAGATTCATAGTATATATAACTCCAAGTAACCATACTCCACTTGTGGAATTATATTGGGCCGTTGTTGTAGTATACATAACTCCAAGTAAGTTTGAGGTAAGCTATCTGAATATTTATTGTTCATATCGCGCTATTTAAATTCCTCTAAATTAAATTAACTAATATTATATTGGTTGTTAACATACTGATTCCTATCATGTGACAAATATCTTATATTAGCTAATTTAATTCAAAATTTTGAGTGCTTGGTCAAGGGTATAAACACCAAAAAAATATGTAATGGCACATTAATTGTTGTTTAAATAGAATTTTATTCATTGCAAAAAAAAAAGTAAAAGAGAAAGGCCAAAGGTCTTTATTTTGAAGGGTATCTTATTTTTTCTAATAAAAAACAAGATAAAAACCTCGTCATACTTTTAAAGTAGATAAAGTTTGAAATAGAAAAAGATAATATTAAATCGAAAAAAAAAAGAGATAATATTTCGACTAATTGGAATATTGGGTCCACATAGTGTATCAGTTGGTCAACGAACTGATGAAATAGTCTAATATTGTGGGGTCCGATGTCGATTTTACAATATTTTATTATAGTACTAACTTTTTGTTCAATTGATTCTCTTTGAAATTTGTAGGGGATAGATTTATCAGGAAAAGAGTCATATTTGTCCTTTTATTATAAAAAAATAAAATTTATTTATTTTCTATTTTAGTTTTTTTAGTATAATTATGCTAGCGCTATACTTGTGGATTAATTTTTTTTTTCTCATTCGGTGTTCGTTATCCGTATTGGAGTCCGACTATATTCAAATTCGCGCTGCTTAGGGTCCCATTCGGGGGGAAGCGTTCCCTACCAAGCATTTTTTCGTATTCAAGGCTCGAACCCGAGACCTCTGGTTAAGGAAGGAGCAACTGCACCACATCTTCTGGTGGTGTGGATTAAATTTACTATCCATTAAAAACTTCATCCCGACTTAAAAATACACGTGGCTAACCTAGATTAATTGAAAAATTACCCGCCCCATTTTTTAAGTGAATCCCACCCAATTCATCTTAATACCCCACCCCATTATGTCAACTACTTTTTATAGTATTAAAATTAGGTGTGCACATAGATTGAAATCGAAATTCGAATTTTTTGGATTTTTGGGATTATGGATTGTATTTTGAATTTTTTTTTTTTTGAATTTCAGATTGGATATTGGATATGTACTTCGAATTTTTGAATATCTAAATATTCGAAATTCTTATACTTTATATTTAGTCCATTATCCATATGTCAATAGTAATAAGTTCAATACTCTAGCCATTAAATATTATTTCATATATTCAATATTATTTACTAAGCTACTGTGAGAATACTTTCTATTTGGAC